GGGTAATGACCCCCATGACCCCCCATGACCCCCCCTGGATCCGCCCTTGTTCCAAACTGCCGAAAGTCTGCCGATTTTCAAAAGTTTCCTGGCATGGGAAAACTTTCGAAAAGCAGCAGAAAACCGTCAACCTTGGAAAATCAGCGAGTGTTTAAATTAAATTGCAGCAAAGCGCCCAAATCCCCGAAAGCCGTAATTTCCGAAAAACCACAGGGCGCTGACTGCAGTAACCGAATTATAACGGGACATGGAACAGAGTATGTCGAGTCGGTTTATTGTGGAAAATCCACGGGGTTGCTGCCACCCTGGCGGCCCAGAAGGGGCCTTAGCTCGGTTGCACCAGCAGGAAAAAGCCCCAAATCGCCCCCATGGGCGATTTTCCTTCATCAGACCGGTTGGGCCACGCCAGGCAGTTTTCCGGGCCTGAAAGGAAAGGGTGCCGCACTTTCGCCAGGCGACAATCGCCGGTTAAATGATGCGTTTTGAACAGTTTAAACGGTTCATTCGAGTCATTTAAAGTGACACATCGGACTTGCCAACAGCCCTCGAGCACATTTCGCGGAAAACCGTCCCTCCGAGTTTTCTGCCGGTTTTTTTTTGTTAAATTTAATTTAATTTGGAAATTGCTGGCTGTTTGCGGGCCACTTGTTGCGCATTAGCTAAGCACGCTCGCGTGTGGAAATCGCCGCTTTTTTCAATTTAATTAGTGCCAATACGCATAATTAATGCCAGCAATAACGCCATAATTAATTAAGCATGGGGATTATTCAAATCGACGCTGTGTGGACGTTATGGTTCGATGATTTTTGCGATTTATCGCCGCAGCTGAAGATTTGCCACTTTTGCAATAAGGTGTTTTCACTTTTTTTTTAATGTTCATATATCGAAAGTAATTGTGGCCAACATTATACTGATATCATTTTTTTGGCAAAAAACGCCTCCATAATAATTTTAAAGCGAATTTAAATTCAAATCAAATATTTTCCGTCAAAAACGCCGAATCCGTATCGTCAGTTGCCTATCCCGATTGTGACGTAGCAGGTCATATCAACAAAGTGTCTCGTGTTTACTTTGTTGTTTTCGCAGCTTTGTTTTATTATATGCGGTATTGTGATTACCATTATTTCATTGATTATTATTATTATCTTGCAAAACAGTGACATGTATGGAGCTTGAACATTCGGAAGGTTATCGTGATGCCCAAAATACAAATTTAAGAGTTAATTTTACTTTTAAAGCAGCCATGTGCATAGGTTAGGTTAAGTTGAATAAGTGAAATTCTCTATATTATTTACCTAATTTAAACCAATACAGACAGATTAGTATATTAAGGAGAGTTTGTTCCAAACTGAATAAAATTGACAAAGACATTAATAATGTTAAGATAGCGTTACAACAAAAAACATACCATCAAAATAAAATAAAAGTGTTTTATGAACAACAACAACAAAAATATGAAACTGTGTTCAACAAGATTAAAACAAAACAAAAAAATAAACTAGAAAAACTTTTAGCAAAGAAACATGGCAGAACAAACAAA